GGCTCCACCTTGCCAGGCACTGGTGATATTTTAAGGTTTTACTAAACTATGGACTGCATTATAATTTTACCAGTTTTTCTATTAATATTCTACAGTACATTTAGTCATCTTGTCTCCTCCAATCATGTGATAATTTCTCAGTCTTGTTTTTCATGACTTTGACACTTTTGATGAGTACTAGTCAAATGTTTTGTAGAATGTCCTTCAGGTTGGGTTTGTCTGATGTTTTTCTCATGATTAGATTGGAGTTACAGAATTTTGGGAAGAAAACCATAGAGGTCAAATGCCCTTCTCATTGTCTCCTATCAGATGGCATATGACACCAAAAAGATTTGTCACTGGTGATGTTACTTTGATCCCATTCTGACACCAATTGCTTGGTGATGTAAAAAAAAAAAAAACACACATAGAATTGGAGTCAGCATCAGATTCCACAGGTTAAGGGATCAGGCCTATAAGACTGCCCCCAATTCACATGCCAACCTGAAAGCTCTCTGAATGTCCTCCTTTGGGTTTTTATGGCAGCTTCATTCCATCCTTGGCCAATGGCACTAGATTCAACCTCCAGCTGTCTCCTCTCCCTAGAAATTAATGGATGGGACTGAAATTTCTAACCTTCTAATCGCAATTGATTCCCTAGGTAACCAGCCCCCACTTAGGTTACTTAGGGGCTTTCCCAGTTACCTTATTAACATAACAAAAGACACCTTGAAAGCAAACGTTGCTTTCACAATTTAGGAAATTCCAAGGATTTTATAAGCTCTGTTCCAGGAAAGGGGACAAAGACCGAATATATATTTTTTATTATAAATCACAATATCACACTTGATTACTTGTTTAAAATGGTGTCAGGTCTATGGCCATGCTACCCTGAACAAGCCCAATCCCATCTGATCTCAGAAGCTAAGCAGGGTCAGGCCTGGTTAGTACTTGGACCACCTAGGAAGACCAGGTGCTGTAGGCATAAAAAATAAAAAAATAAATAAGAGATTGTAAGCTGACAAGGTCCTTGCAATCTGTGAGGTCAACCAAGGGTTGCCTAACCTAAAAAAAAAATTAAAAAATAAAAATAAATAAGTAAAATAAAATGGCATCAGCCAGATTTCTCTACTGTAATGTTAGCATTTTTCCTTACTATGCTCCATTGTTAGAAATTCTTTGTGGTTTTAATTTGCATTTTAATAATAATTAATGTTGTGAGATATCTTTTCCTGTGCTTATTTGCCTACCGTATATCTTTTTTGGTGTCCAAGTTATTTTTTAATTGGGTTGTGTTGCCATAAGAAACATCCAAACCTGTAGAGAATTTTAATGAGTGTCTTTGAGCTAAACTGCCGTCAGCTGCAGGAAAACAAAATCTCAACAGATTAGGAAAATGCTCCAGAGAATGGCATTTTCGCAACTTATTTTATACATTAGAATCAAAGGAGAAGACAGGAAGAGGGTTACATGAAATCCATTGGTGATAGATTAAGGGGGAGGGAGAAAGCAAAGCGGGGAAGTCTCTGGGATTGGATAAAAAGTAAAATAGAGAGACACATACTTCTTTTATTAGTGAGTACATGACAGTTAATTATTAACCTTTTACAGCTTTTAATACAGGGACAGTATTCTGTGAACAAGATAGCAATGAAGTCTGGTGTGGTAGGCTGTGCCCTGAGGGACCCGGATAAAGGGATTGCTCTGACATTCCAAGTATATGTTATCTTAGAAGCAAAAAGACTACAGAAGGGCTTACTTGATGTAAATACTGACCTTTGCGAAGAAAGCTACAGGCCCAGAATGTGACTACCCACCATGACCCGCTTTTAGTTAGGAATTTGTTATGTTCAGACCATTCCATGTGGTTAATTTCAGTCTCTGAGTATGTAGGGCCCGCCCTGCTGGTCTCCCCTGAGCTTGTCAGATTTAGTGTGTGGCCCCCTTTTCATCCACACTTCCCTTCTTTGGACATAAATCAATCCAAGGAATGCACTAATGACCAATCTTTTGGTTGGATAATGTGGTCCCACAGTACTAGGAAGGCTCATTCCTAGGAAGTTTTTGTGTTGTCATTGTCTTACCAAAATGGTGGACCAGTGGGGATGGAGCCAGATTGTAATCTTGGATGGCAGTCAAGGGCAAATATTTTTTCAAAAAGAAAGGCCAGTAAATGGGAGGCAGTCAGGTCTTATGGGCCTTCATTAAGAAAAAAACACACTGAATCTAACCTGTACCTCTTCAGTTTTCACAATCTGACCATGAGATGGGTTCCCATTTACAGGTGTTATTAGAATTATTATTATTTTAATATGGATGATCTACTTCTCATTGGAAGCACTTAAGTGTCATTCATTATAAATCTGATTCCTGCTAGTTGTGCAATCAGGGGCCAAGGCTGTAAGAACATAACAGTATAAATTACCATTACCATCTAAATATTTTCAGAGGCCAGGACAGTTAAGAGTTTTATAAATAAATTTCCTGTGCCTCAGCAGCTGTTATAGCCGGCCAATTTTTTTGGTAGCCATTTCAGCTTCCATCTGAATTAATATAGTCTTTGTTGGTTTAGGGGGTAAGTATGCTCCCATAATTAGGTTCTAGTGTTTATACATAAAATTCCTTTTTCAATATTCCTTTCCCACTAACTTTCTACAACTTCCCTTGTCCTCAGTTTGTCTCTTTTTCTTCAGAAATAACCAGCTTATTAGGACAAACTACTTCTTTTTAACTTCTCTCAAACACACACACATTTCTTTTCTTCCTTCTACAATAATATTCCTTCTAAATTTCAAAAGAGAAACTGTAAAACAAGTATTGTTGATAATATAAAAGTTTTACATCTTCAGCAATTGTTAATGGTTGGGCTATATAAGAACAAGGTTTGAGAAAAACTCAAAGAACAAGCACAACTATTATTCTGACTAATATTATTAGTAGACAGATGCATAGGGTGACCAGTGACTAGTTAGGAGGAGAAAGGCTATGTTTACCAAAGGGATAGATCTCAGTTTGAGAAGCACTATAGGAAGAGCTTTTGGGCAAGGGAGATTAAAAGCCTCTGAAAATTCACCTAGTTGAATTTTAATTGTACCATTTGTACGTTCCACCAATCCAGAGGACTGGAGTGATAAGCACAATGAAAATGCTATAGAATAGGCCAAATATTACAAATGGATTGCATTATTTGCTTAGTGAAATGAGTCCCTCGGTCATTATGTAACTCAGAGGAAATTCCCCAATTGGGAATTTTTTTCCCCCAATAATAATTTACCTACTGTTAGGCTGTTGCTTGCCTGCAAGGGAATGCCTCAACCCAGTGAGAGAATGTACAAATCATAACTAACACATTTGTATCCTTGAGATGGTGGCACTTGGATGAAATCCAATTACCGTACCTCAAACAGACCTAAAGGAAGTGAGAAATGTCATTGGGACCCAGGGTTATATTTTAGACAGATAGAACATCTGCCATACACTTAATGAGCTACAGTCAGAGGTTTCCACTAATATTGTTTATTCCATGAAATCATCTTTTCAAGACCCCAATGTGTAAGCTCATGTATATGTCAAAGTATACATAATTGAGCCCCTATAGGTAAGATTGGTTTCTGATTGGGTCCAAGCCATATCTGTTTGTCTGGGTCAAAGTGTTCCCAGTTTTGTTGCCATAACTTCTTTTCTTCTTCCACAGTCGTCCATTGGAACTGTGAAAGACAGTCTTAAACTGATTTAATAGGAAGAAGAAACATTGTCAGGTCTGGCTGCTTATTACTGTTTGTCTAGCTGCAGTGTCAGCT